AGAAGCTCTGTTACGACTTCTTGTCAGTAGTTTCCCACAGACAAGGTTAGGACACTCAACAATAGGAAGGCTCTGTTTATATTTGTTGGCTGTAGAATGGGTATCAGTATTGGTTTTCCTGTAGAGTTTTAACCCTTGAGAGTTGTTTAGATTAGTTTTCTTTAAAAAGGAAAAAATCTGTGGGTAGTTAGTAAAATATGAACCATGGATCTTTTATTTTGATTTAATCATTTTACATTTTAATGATTATAGTCAACTCACATTGGACAATTGCCTTTTTAAAAAACTTTTCCTAATTGAAATATAATTGACATAGAACATTATATTATTTTCACTGTACAACAGAATGATACAGTTGCTCTTTCAAAGCTTGCTCCCCCGCCCCCTGTAGCTTTATAAAAATATTTCCTCTCACTTCTGCTTGGGTGGTCTGTGAGGTTTCTAGGCAGGCTTGTGTGGGCTGTACTTTTGAACAAAGCATTCTTCTGTTTAATTATCATATTTCTTAGATTCTAAGACTTTTTTTTTTTTACTTTTTACTGTTTCTGAAATTGTGATTCATCTTATAATTTTTTGTATGTTCAGTGTGGTATGGAATGTCATCTATTCTCCCCTTCACTTCTCAAAGGCTGTTAAAAAGAATTGTTCTTTTACACTATGAATAGTGTGAGAATCAGAGAAATAGTATATTTTCCCAGTAACTTCTAAGCTAGGTCCCAATGAACTGAGCCTCAAATCATTTCAGTGTGAACGTAGAGAAACAATAAATGATGTAACTTTTGGCAGTATAAATAGTGAAATGTATATTCTAACAAAAGCATTTGTTATGCAGTGTTAGGGTTTGTTAGTGATTGTAGATGGAAAAAATGCTTTAAGTGATTATATTTTTGGCTAAAGTATTCTGCACACTTTGTCTAAGCACACTTCCTGAGGAATGTGCTTATACTGTATTCATATATTGTGCTTAAAGAAAAGCCTTTCAATTGCATCTTCCTGCTGCTGACATCCCTTGCAGTTTAAGCTGACTGATTGTGAGGAATGAGAGATGTGTGGCTGAATATGAAACTACTTTTTCATCATAGGGTACTTTTAACGATACAAACCCGTCTGAGCCAATCTAGCTGTTTTCAAAAATTAAATGTGAGCAAAGTGTCGGGGCACCCCCGGGTTCAGTGACTTGCTAAGACGCCCAGCTGATTGATTACAGCAAAAGGAGACCAAGTGCTTAATTGTTACAGCAACTAGTTGTGACAGCTACACAGTTGCCAACCAGGGAAGTTCATTAGATACTCAGTGCTCTGGATTTTTTTTTTTAAAATTGGGGGCTAGTTACCTAAGTACCCTTTTCTTGGAACTACCCAAATCCCAGACTCCTAGAAGGAAAGCAGATGTTGAGTATAAACCACATTGTCTGCACAAACAGTTTAGGCACAGTGAGTCACTCTTAACATTTAAATGATGGTGGGGACACTCCCAAAATCAAAATTCCCTGATGTCAGCCATAATCTGGCCTTTCATACGATGGCAGTACTTTTTGCTAATCTATTTGCATATCTGGGTTACTTTGTCTCTCTGAAGCATTGATTCTTTGGTTGAGAAATCAAAATAGTTTGGAAAATTTAAAGGGAAATGAAACATTTTCAGCAAATTTTTGTCCCATTGATGATCCATTGTAAAACATTGAAGTTTTTTTTTTCTTCTAAGCTTAAGCCTTTACCCTTACAATGCAAGCTTTTAGTACCTATTTTTAATAGTTTTCCTCCACCATCCTCTATTTCCCCACTGAAAGCACTTGATCTATTTGTGGGTACAAAATTTAGAAGCTAAAATGAGGTCAATAGAGAGTTTTGTATTTTGATAGTTCCACTTCCTACTTTGTTCAGTGTACATTTGGGTTGCATTCTAAAGGATTATTTATAAATCAGTTTTTGCAACATGTAACACATTGTTCCAGGGCTTATTCCTAGGCCAGACCACTAATTGTACTTAGTCCACATTGTAGCTGAAATATAGCTTAGTTATAATGACAAAGGAGCAGAAAACAGTGTTCTTGCAATTCCGATAGCCCAACAAAATAGGAAACCATAACATCTATAAGTTACTGGTCTCTGGGAAAAATTGGTTTTTAGAAGTGCAGGTTTTTATAACCTTTTTTGGGGACAGAGTCTCCTTTAAGAATCTGGTGAAAGCCATGGACCCACCTGGGGAGGGTGGGTCCCAGAAAAAAAAAAAAAAAGTTTAAATAGAAATTTGTAGTTTCAGGAAATTCATATAATTTGAATTACCATTCTTTAACCCCAGGTGAAGGACACCCGCATAATAAGTGTGATTGGGTTGTGGTCTGAGGCAGTTACGAAGTTTGGCAGTGCTTGGGAGTGTTGCTGCTCTTGCTACTCCAGCGTGGTCTGTGGACCAGCAGCAGCACCACTGCCTGGGAGCTTGTTAGACCTGCAGAAGCTCAGCCCTGCCTCAGATCTAATGGCCAGGTGATGTGTGTGCACATTCATGGTGGGAGTGCTGTGTTAGGGGTTAATACTGTGGGTGTTCTTTTTTTTTTCTTTTTCTTTTTGCTTTTATCAAATGCTTTTTATTATTTTTTTATTTTTAATTTATCTTTATTGCTGAGAGTATTACAGGTGTTCCATTCCCCCCCCCCAATTGACCCCTTCCACCTCACTCTCACACCCTCCTCAGGCCTTCACCCCGCTATTGACTGTGTCCATGGGTTATGCATATATGCCTATAACTTCTTTGGTTAATCTCTTCCCACACTCCACCCCCCTTCCCATTTTCCTCTGAAATATGATCGTCTGTTACGTGTGTCAGTTTTCTGGATCTATTTAGTTCATCAGATTCTTTTGTTCATTAGCTTCTTCTTAAAGAAGACCCTTCAACTTTTCCTGTAGTGCTGGTCTGGTGGTGATGAACTCCTTTAGCGTTTTCTTATCTGCGAAACTCTTTCTCTGACCTTCAGTTCTAAATGGTAGCTTTGCTGGGTAGAGCAATCTTGGTTGTAGGTTCTTGTTTTTCATCACTTTGAGTATTTCTTGCCACTCTCTTCTGGCCTGCAAAGTTTCTGTTGAGAAATCAGCTGACAGTTGTATGGGTGCTCCCTTGTAGGTAACTAACTGCTTTTCTCTTGCTGCTTTTAAGATTCTCTCTTTGTCTTTAACCTTTGGCATTTTAATTATGATGTGTCTTGCTGTGGGCCTCTTTGGGTTCCTCTTGTTTGGGACCCTCTGTGC